CCATAAATTATACTTCGTCGCTGCATCCTCGAGATTTTCATATTTACCAGGTAGATGTTTAGAGAGCTTTAGCGAAATCAAAACTATGATAAATACGTTATTTAAATAAATAAGACCTTTCCTTTATAAGGAATAATATTTATACATAATATTATCGTTAAGTAAAGCATTATCAAAATGCGAAGCAGAAGGTCTTGCTTTAAATTTAAGAATAGAATTCAAGGTAATTAGTAGTAANAGTTTATTCTTCTGTTAAAAGATATCTGATGATTGAAAAATCGGCCCTATAAAGATTAAGAATTATCTAGAGATCGATTGGACCCTTAAAAGGACTGAAGGAGCTAGCTTTCGTGCAGAAATTCTAGAAAGCCCAGGTAAAGAATCCATGATTTCTTAGTGTATGGAACTGAAAAATGAGTGTTTTGGAGCCATTAAATATAATATTTTGAGCCTATTTTGGCCTAATACTTTATCCAAGTGGGCATTTATTTTATTTGTCTAGCCTACGTTGTTTGGATTGAAGTCTTCTCGGTAGAGGTCAAATGAAATACTTATCCGACCTTTCTTGTCAGAACAAAAGTTTTTATCCTACTGATATTTTGTCAATCCTTTAGACAGAATACTCTCATTGCTTGTGACAAATGAGGAATTCGTATTACATAAATTATTATTACGAAACACGTTTACGTGAAATAAATTATACATACGTAGATAATACCGTTTTCTCTACTTTCTCGTTTAATTAGTAGATTCATTGTGGTCTTTTTGTTATTACTTTTAAATTATCGTTGTGATGTAATAAACTGATTATGAACATATTGCCACACTACAAATGTATACAGCAGTGTCTCATTAAGTATGGTGTAACGTGGCTCACGCATGTCATCCATTTTACACAAAATGTAACACGCACAGCCTCGAAGTAGGTATGTTTCACGATGTCACATCAAGCCAAATACTGTAGCTTCTTATGCAGACGTGTTAGGGATATTTTGCTGTAAAATGTATAAGTCTGAACTGCTGTACTTTACTTTAAGTAACACTAAATATCCTAAAGTTTCAAGGCAACTAGATTTTGTATTTGTAAACTTAAGGAACTTATGCCTGTTTTCACCATCAATCCCTAATTTTTAAGTAAGTAACACATAACAGGAATTTTATTTTCATTCACTTTAAAATTAGGGATTGGTGGTGAAAACGGGCATTAATTAGTTATAGCCACACACATACAAAATAATTTTATTAGCAATTCACATTTTCCCCCAATGTGAGTTGAACCCGCTCTAGATATTCAGAAGAAGACGGCTGAGTGTGAGTTTACATCAAAGGTCGTCACTAGTGATTACGGATTGTACAACGCCCCTAGCGGAAACTTTCAAGAACTAAAATTTTCATTCATTTTTAACGCGCTCACTAGTGAGGACGATGTAAACTCACACTAAAGCCCTCAGGTACTTAAATAAGTGGGCCTGTTCAACCCACCTCAAATACGTAAACATGCTGATGTTAATTGAAAAGTACAGCGCCAAGAATTAATGATAACGCACTCATTAGTACTCAGAAGCTTGTTAATTAGTAATTAATTAAGTCTTCGTGGTGTTATGCAGCTGTCGCAGACGTCATGACATCAATCGATATCTTTACGTAAATGTGATTTTTGTCACGTCCAGTAGAGTTTTACAGCTATATCAACAGTAGTATAGGTTATTAACTTTTTCAATAAATACATTGTTTTATTTACGAAACAATAGGGATGTTTCCTGGGTCAAAAAGCAAGAGTTTTAATTAGTCCGTCAGTTAACTTATCAAAAAATACTCTACACGTATTGTTCACTTTTTCAAACTAATGAAAATTTAAAGAGATAAAGCGCGCCAAAGTTCATAAGAAGAGGCCCGTGACGTCAATGCGTGCATAAAAGTGTCGCACGTTGTGACGTCGTGCGGAACTTCAACGCACCATAACTATGTAATTATTTGTTAGATTGACAAATAAAAATAATATGTGTCCAATATTTTTTGATATTAAACATGACGGACTAAAAAATTTTTTTAGGAAACTAGCCTATTGTCGACTGTGATGTTCTCCAGTCAAAAGGATAATTGACCAATTGAGTTTCAAGTGGATGCAACGAAATACGTTGTGTGGATTCCATTCCACCCTTTTTCTCTGAAAAGACGTTGTTTCACGATTCTGTGTGATAAAATCCTCTCGATTTGTAGTTTTATCATTCAGATAGAAGAAGTAGCTTGATGTGCCTTGTATTATACCGCGTAAATTATAAAAAGGTGATCTTTGTATAGAATCAGAAGCTATCTGCTCCAGATACCTTTCAGCACAGAATAAGTAATAGTACCTACCATGCTTTCAGCCTCAACTACCGAATAACTGGACATGTTTGAAACCAATCGATCCTGTTAATTTTTTTTCAAACTAGACATCCAGAATAAGTTATTTTATAAAAGCACTAAAACTTGACTTGTGATATCTTTACCTCCATTATTGATGGGGATCAGGGCGGCCCTCATGAACTTTGATCTTTACACCATCGCTATTTGGGTCAACCATCGTAATAGAAATACATGTAGTAGTATCTCTATAGACTCCATCTATCCAATGGACATAACTACTCCAAAATACTAAAAAATGTTAGGATCGTACTAGCTACTAATTTCTGCCCTCAACTTTTTTCCGCTTGGATTTCGAACCGTCCCATAGAAAGCTTTTTTATCGCTTATTATTTGCTCAAATCAAAGTCTTGATTTAAAGCATAAACTTGAATTTTTATTACATGGGTAGATAGGTACAAATTTCAACCGTTTTCTTTCTCTATTAACTGCTTCAAAGTTTTTGCGACAAAAATCTTAAAGCAGTTCAGACAGACAGAATAATCACCATAGACATTCATTGTTTTCTTAAAAGATCCTATCACATTCTCAATAATAACTATTCATTTTCACCTTACAGTGACCTAATTTCTGTAAAATATCTTATCCATTAAAGTTATTAGGGATTGAACAGAACTTTCCGAGTCTTGACTTGACAGCTCCACTCTTAAACCATTACACTGGGGTCCAGGGGGGTACAAGACAGCAAGGTTATTTTGTTAACCCCATTAGGCAAGCCGCCACTCTTCCACCTTTTTATTTTGGTCCATGGAGGATGCGGGAAGTTACCCTGAATTATAAATTAGATAATTTATACAGACGGTAGGTTACAGCATTTGCGACATGAATGGTAGAGTCTGACTAATGTACTATCGTTGAGGACGTCTTATTTTTTGGTTTGTCAGGGACTTGTCTATGGCAACTCATTACATTGTGTTCTTAATAGCTGGAACTGGAACAACAGTAGGTCACTCCTACACTTTAGGAGTAAAGAAAGAGAATTTAAAAGAATTTCCTCTACTTACTTCTTTTTTGTCAGTTTTCCTAATACGTCGTAGGCGTCGTACGTAGGCCGTCAGTTTTGTAAATTAAATATTTTCTTTGTACACAAACTGGTCAGCTTAATATTAATCTACAGTTTGTCATCAATCACGATTAGTAAACTCATTCAAGTTTAATTCAAATTCTCAGGGCAATTTTAGTCTCAGTTCCATTTTGACAGCCAATTTAGGTTCGAACATGTTCTGGCGAATGAAATGTGGTAATGATCCCGTCAGGGTTTTGAATTCTGTTATTGCTTTAACAAAATAGAGGCTAGGAGAAGTTGTGACTATGAAAACTAGATTTAGTAATGAATCACTTAAAATAGAATAGTTAGAAAATATATCTGTGGTTTGAGGATTCCAGGTGAAGCTCGCTTCTACCGTAAGCCTGAACTGATCATCACTTTCCATCAGGCGAGACGCAGGCCAAGAACTTCCTCGTTGTTGATAAAAAAATCTCTTCGTAGATTTCTTGAATAGCATTTGGTTTAAGGCGATTAGAGTCCTCAATGACCTTGAGCGTTTGACCTTCACGCTTCGCACAACACCTNTCTCCATCACTTGACTTAAGAGTTACGCAACTGTTGCACAACAGGGTTATGTTTGCACACGCGCACCCATACAGTAACCGGATGGTGTTGAGGAAAAGAAGTGCGTGAACCGGTCACCCCACACCGAGGCAAATATTCTAAATTAATATTTGAACATTTAAATAACATTTTCTTGATTTAGATTAAAGTCTTTATTCCTATTGTAATTCTAATTTTAATTTATGGACTTGTATAAAAGTTTCATTCAAATAAAAAATACATCTTAATACACAAATTTTTCTTTTTCATCACTATTTCTGCGCTTCCTCGAGCAGTTACCTCGAGGGATAAGCCCCCGTTTTTTGGAGAATGAACTGAATAAAACACAAATAATTTATTTGCGTAAGAGACACGTGACAACATGTGTAGGCATTTTTAGTCAACCTCTGGATCGACTCGTCCCTCAGTCAATTAGCCAAGATTCGCCCAAGCGTTCAGAACATTATCCCATCTCCAAATTGGAGTGCGTACACCCCAGTTTTACCCTTTAAGCTGACATAAGCCCTCCAAAACATTATTGGCCAACGGGATCACTTTTCCATGTCTGAAGTTGAAACAATTTACCCATGCAACCTCTATATCCGGTTTTGCAGGTTTATCAGACTGAAATTCCCCTTGTGTTGAATCATCCGATTCTTAGACTTCAGTGGTAATAAAGGCTCATTACAGTTTTGGTATTTCGGTTCGGTTCGGTTTGGTATTATAGGTAATAGTTATATGACCTCAATCGCATCGAGGTTCTTCATAACGATTATGGTATTTCGGCAGTAATCGCATCACTACTCAAGGAAATACATATTTGTAGTCTCGCTGATGGTATTATTCGAAATCATTGTTTTAGTACAATTGAATATTATAGTTTCTTATTTTATTTAAATAGCTTAAACAAAAAACCTGATAGGCAGGCCCTGTATTTAAATACACCAGCGAAGCAAACCTAGCCACATTCAATAGTAACTATGATAGCAATGGACGCACTCACCTTACGACACCGTTTCTCGGACTGGGCGACACAGGTCGCGAAGGGCAGCTGCGGAGCAACTGAGCCACGGCGGGGTCCCACCCGGGCGCACGGGGAAGACGACGGGGCAGCGGGGCCAGTAGCCACGGCAGGCGCGCCGTGCGGAGGCACGCAGCGAGCCCTTGTTCTTGTGAACCGTATTTCGGTAGCAATCGCATCACTACTCTAAGAAACTCGTATTTGACCTCAATCGCATCGAGGTTCTTTCTCACGATTTTTGGTATTTTGGTAGTAATCGCATCACTACTCCAAGAGATTCGTATTTGACCTCAATCGCATCGAGGTTCTTTACCACTGTTAGCGACGCGTTCATAATATTATTTTTAAGTGTTAATTTGTATTGTTTCTCAGTGTATTCATTGCTTAAATCCATATCACGCAAATGTATGTAAAACTGCGGTAGTTATAAGTTTGTTTTTATTAAATATTGGAGGGTATTTTTGTGGCCCTATTTCTGCCTGTCATAAGCGACAGTTGAGAATGAACCGTCAGTTCAAACCGATCCACGAGCGGCACCGCACGCCGCCACAGTTGTAAAACCTAAGAATAAACGCGATTTCATACAAACGTTCGTTTTTCTCCGATTCGCACCTACGATCGCCAACAAAACTTCGAGCCGGATCATCAGCGGATTAAATGATCCACACACCGGTAAAAATGGTGCGAACGCGGAGTACTACGCGGCTCGAACGGGAACAAAATGGCGACAGTCATAAATGCGTTCCGGACAATCCTCCTCAGCATGATAGAACTGAACTTTGTGCTGCATATGGTGTTGGAAAAAGTGCATCGATCGACGTACTAACGGTAAAAAATAACGTCATCGAGCCTGCGAACAGTGTCAAATCGGAACCACCGCCACCCGCTCCCACAAGTTTGAAATCTGGCAAGTCATCCGTCACCTCCATACAAACGAGAAAAAAACGGTTGGAGATGCAAGCTGCGTTACAAAAGGCTAAAATTCGCATGGAATTGATAGACAAACAGCTCGAGGTGGATATCGCAGAACTCGAAGATGAAGAATACAACTTAGACATATTAATAGTTTCTTACGTTTTTTCTTCCACCTTTAAAATCAAATCAATATTAAAATCAAATATTACTCAAAGAAACAAAAAAGAACTAAAAAACATCAATGTAATTTCTATAAACGACATTGTTAAAAAAGAATCTAAATATATAAAAGGAGAAACTGACTGACTTAGTGACAGATCAACGCACAGCCTAAACGGCTAAACTTAGGCACTTGNTAAATATTTCCCAAGCCCATCTTCCTCTCGGTCTGTACACTCTTGCCAGAGTGGTCGTAGTCATCATTGTGATTCACGATGAGTGATGTTTTTTGCATTACGGCGCGATTCGTCGCAGACTGCAGCTTTCCAGGCACTTTCGTTGGCGGAGCACTTACTTGCGGCCTTGATCCGGTCTCCTGATTCCCCAACAGGTAGCCATTATTATCCTCCAAATGTCGCGTCGCCCTAGACAACGTAATATAACTGTGTATTTTTTCGAAAGGTTTACTTTTATGGTTACTACACATTTAAACACACACGAAGCACACACTTTTTCCAATTTAATTTTATTTTTGCGGCACGAACGAGAAATTTCGATGTTACGATGCCCGCACTATCGAAGCGAATGACGACTCGACGGTTGGAGGGGTCTGACGTAAACGTGCCCCACTACCGCCGGATATCGAGTCATAACAAGTATTTTTTTTGTATTGTATGCTCTAAAATGTTCGATGCCTAGTACAATGAGAAGTGGACTACCTGGTAAATATGAAAATCTCGAGGATGCAGCGACGAAGTATAATGAAAGGCGGGTCAGGAATTACAGGCGTCGGGAAAATACCTTAAAATATCTGCCGCTCCGAGCTCGAGCTCTTAATGAATAAGCTATTCGGCGGAGTGGATATTCCAGGCCATTCCTACCCGGCATGATGATATTGGGAGAATATTTTCGACTTAATAACCAGAGGGAATTTTATATTTAAGGTGAACGTTGATAAAGCAAAATCCTTTGAGAAACTTTAACTCAATCCATTTATTCTCAGAACTCGTCTGTGTATACTTTTTAAATAAAATGTTATTTACTGAGAAAATGAATAAATAACGTCAGTCATTATTGTTTGTAGGCAGTTCTAATATTTTCGTATGTACAGTAATTTGACCGCCTCAATGTTTATGAGCGTTATGTCGCACGTTAGTAATGAGAAGATGCCTGAAATAAATATAATAACAACACAAACTATCTTAAATTTAATGTTTTAGAAACTAAAATGTATAAGTATCATTCGTAGATATAATAATAGGTACTTATGTCTTCAAATAACATCATCCGTTCAAATCCTATTAAGTAAAACAAACAACTCGACGTTCCAAGTAATTCATGTATAATACGCCTATAAATCGTTTGTTTATATGAACGAACTACCTAATCCAATCTAGGCTTAGTTTAGGGAGGGTGTTGCTCGGTTTGTGTTAAATCTATAGGAATTTGTGGTTATATCAACTAGCTGTGCCCGCGACTTCATACGTCTGAAAATAGTTTGAATATTTTTCCCGTTTTCACGACATTTTTCATTAATGAATATGATGAAATGAAATACTATTGGTCGTACTCTAAAGTCTGCCTCGATTTATGGGCTACATTTTCAACACTAAAATCTTTTCAAATTAGTGCAGTTGTTCCTGAGATCGTTCTACCAAACAAACTCGTCAGCTTTAAAACCGTACCTACCTTAAGTACCTACTTATAGAATTGTCTCATAATAATTATGTCCTGATAAGGATTTAATGCGAAGTTCACTATTAAATACTAACTTGGTGTTTGACATTTTATATGTATTGAATTTCGATATGTCGTTCAAACTCACTCACGAAAGAAGGACGGCTGAAATAAATGAATCCTTTATTCCTTCTACCTGAAGATACCTCTATATTCAATCTGAAAGTTCCTCATGAGGTGTCCTAATAAAATGTTTTGTTTCTTGTCGAAGTGCACGTCGACTATAAGTGGATTGGATTCCGTAGGTATTTCATGTAATTATATGAGCTTTTTAAGCTCGAATATAATTACGTCATTAATTGTTTCGTTGCTTTGGGATCAAAGACAATTAACGCTCTGAAATGACAAGAATAAACGATAGGTTTATGGTCCATTATTTTCCAGAACCTACGTATCAAAACTAATAAAATACTATCACCCGTATTCACAAACGATGTTTGCTCAAGTGACGCAGCAAATCGAACGCACATCATTGAATAGCTCTATTCTGTGATTGGTTCACGTGTGCACCTGTGCGTCCACGCGCACTGTGAGACCTCATAGTAATGTTTGTGAATACGGGCGTATACATACGACAGCAGAAACTAAACACTGTGCAATTTTATATCGTTGTCAGCTTATAATCGCATGTGCTTTCTCGTACGACAAAGTACATTTATGTGACAATGTCTTATTGTGACAACGTGACTTCCGAATTCACTCTTTCCCTCAAAGATCCAAGTCTTTATGGAAATATTTGTTATTTTTACGTGTTTTCACGAACGATTGATGGATTTTTGTGTTTGGCTTCAACCCAAGTCTATTCTTAGCTATACAAAAAGTAGGTACATGAATGAAAATAAATTTATCCTGAGAAAAGGTATTGTATCTGTGCCGGACGGTATGGGGTAGCAACCCTGTGCGGACCCTGAATACCGTACGCCGACACGGCGCGATGCGGGGTGCAGCGCGAGCGGGGGAGCGTGACGAAGAGGGGCGGGGAGCGCAGAAATAATAACGCTGGTTGTGGTGGTTGAGACCGGTTCCTCGGAGCAGTGGCGAGAGCTTGGTGTTGTAGCTTGTTGAGGAGAAAACGCGGAACTGACTGGGTCCGGATGGCACCCCGATATTTATTTACTTTTATTAGAGCGAGAAAACCTATTTGCCTCTCACTCTAATTTAGACCCCCCCTGGGCGGCAATACCGTATAGAGAGCCTGTTTTTTATCTATTCGGTGACCTATTTTTTNTGGTGCTGGTGCTGGTGCTGGTGGTGTGGCGGGCGTGCGGGCGGGCGGTCGCTGTCTGCGGCGGCGGCGGCGGCGGCGGCGGCTGGAGGCCTCCGCCGCCCTCTCGCCGTCGTCGGCCGAATATTATCATGAACCGAACGGAACGATGCGATGGGGTGAGTGAGTGTTATTATTAATTAGTTAATTACCCGACTGCGCCAGAAGGAGGGTGGGTTATGTTTTTCGAGTGTAAAACAAAAAACCCAACGGCGTGTAAAAAAAGGGAATTAAAAAAAAAAGATAAAAACAAGACAACTTGTGCCCGTTTCCCATATTCTATTAGGTTTCTATTCCAAATCCGGATTTCAACTGTCAAATTTAATTCAGTTTTAGATAAAAAATTTTTACACATTACTATTAATTAAAGTCTTATAAAAATAATAAACCGAACAGTTATTTTTAAACAAAAACATATTATTGATGTTCGACAGTTGACGGACAGATTTGGATTGGGATTGAATTTATCATAAACAAATTAATGCATTCGGAGGCACCAATNGCAGGTTGGAGTCGGCGATGAGCACGAGGTCGCCGATGTTGAGCGGTGCTCCGCTCCCGTGCGGCTCCCGCCGGTGTTGGAGCTCCGGCAGGTACTCTCGGACCCAGCGGTCACAGAACTCGTCGGCTAGCCGCTGAGCTCGCCTCCAGTGGTGGCGGCTGGCGACGTCTGCTTCGGTGAACGTCCCCGGCTGTTGGATGCGGCCCGACCCCCCGAGTAGGAAGTGGTTGGGGGTCNAATTAAAAGTAAATAACTATAAAGATCTACACATAATTATCTATCTAATTTACATAATATAAATATGACTCGACATTCATAACTAGACGAAACTATAGGTTTAATCGATATACATAAAACAAAGGGCTATCAAATTATACATTTCTATGTTTTTCTAAAATAAACTATGATTTATACATCTCCAACGTCCCACATACGCCTATTAATCAGTAATTAAGGACTCGACACATTACTAATTGAGAACCAACTAAGAGAAAGTGGACTGTATTACGAAATTATCAAAATTAAAACTACTTACTATTTAACTATGTAAACGAAAATAAAAAACGATACAAAATTGAAACAAAACGAAAACTATTTTACAA